CAAAAGCAAGCCTGAGAGAATAAAGATATTTAGAAACCAAGAAAGTTGCCAGCTTACTGACTGGGTAGAGGAGTCCCCTAGCTACACTTACTGGGATCTTGGTCCAGCTTTGGGTCTGCTGGGTAAGTGCTGACGCACATCTGAGGGCCATGTACACTCATGACATGGTACTTCAGAAGTCCAAAGGCCAGAAGCACAATATCCCAAGCTTTGGGAAATTTCCCTTGTGTTTTTTACCTCTCAAACATAGGTTTCAGTGAAGTGCTTTTTCACCAGTCCAGGAGCAGTCTACCTGGCAGGACTGTAATAAATTTGATGATCTTGGCCTAATGACAAATTTCAAAAGGAAATTAGGTGTTAAGCACTTCCAACAGGAGTATATTTCTACCTGCGCCCTTGTTCTTCCTCTGTAAAATGGAGATACCCATAATTCCTATTGTACCGCATAAAAGAAAAGGAAACCATTATACAAACAGACTGTAGAGATGCTTTGACACTTAAATAATAAGCGTAGCATTTAACTTACCTGAAATGCAGTCACCCACTTTTACGACACGCTAAAGTCCTACAGAGAAGGACTTGGAAGTACTAGTGGATGAAAAGCTGGACATGAGCCGGAAATGTGCACTTGCAGCCCAGAAGGACAACGTCAAAAGAAACATGTCCAGCAGGTCGAGGGAGGTGATTATGCCCCTACACTCCTCTCTCATAAGACCCCACCTGGAGTACTGCATCCAGCTCTGGAGTTCTCAGCACGTAAAAGACATGGACCTGTTGGAGCAGGTCCAGAGGAGGGCTGCAAAAGCGATCAGAGGAATGGAACACCTCTCCTATGAGGACAGGCTGAGAGAGTTGGGATTGTTCAGCCTGGAAAAGAGAAGGCTCCAGGGAGATTTTATTGTGGCTTTTCAGTACTTAAAGGGGGTTTATAAGAAAGATGGGGACAAACCTGTTAGCTGAGCTTGTTGTGATAAAGAAAGATTTAGACTAGATATGAGGAAGAAAATTTTTGACAATGAGGGTGGTGAAACACTGGAACAGGTTGCCCAGAGAGGTGGTAGATGCCCCATCCCTGGAAACATTCAAGGTGAGGTTGGATGAGGCTCTGAGCAACCTGATGTAGTTGAAGATGTCCCTGCTCATTGCAGGGGGGTTGGACTAGATGACCTTTAAAGGTCCCTTCCAACCCAACCTATTCTATGATTTTGTGAAAAGAAACACTGCTAGCTTTTGTATTCTTGACCTGCAGTTCTCAATAAGACAAAAACCAAAAAGACTTATTTGAATATCACAGACATTCAAAATCTGGGCAAACGTCAAAAAGGAGCAGCCAGGTTTTGGCTGAGGAAAATTCACCTTCAATTCTGTGTTGCTCTTAGGTACATATTTACGCAAGTATTGTATTCAGAAGAACAATCACACAAGAATGTACAATGTTTAATAGGCTTTGATAAGGGGAGGTCTGCTGGTATTATCAAGATATAAACGACAGTATTACCCAATGGGGTAGAACATGTAAGCAAATGTGCATTGGTGTTTTGTATGACCAAGACCTGATCCCCCCCAGTTAAATACCTGGTTGGAGTGTAGATTTGTCATCATCTTACACTGAACCAAATTTTACCCACGTTATCCACCATTAAACAAAGAAAAACTTATCACTCTGTCATCATATAAATTGATCTCTCTGTGACTTGGCAAGGCACCAGAGCAGTGATGGTATAGACCACATAAGAATGTTAGGTCAAATGCCCAGAGCCATTAACCTTTGTTTAACCAAAAAGTAAATCTGTTGATGAAAGGCAACATTTTATTTCTATCCACCTGCAACAAATAGCTCCTTTCTTAGTACTATAACTCAACTGATGGTACTGAAGAGCAAAACTTGCACTTTACTTTCAGAGTCTCTTGAGTAATTCACGTTGAGGTCATGGATCAAAGCTGATTATTCTACTTGTAATGACCAAGTCCTGCAAGGTATTATACCCAGCACAGAGAGCTGAATCCTGTAGAGAGATAGAGGTTGTGAACAAATTGCATTCAGTTAAGAATACCGACCAAGTTGCAGGAAAAGGATGGCCAAGCAGGAAAGACGTTCTTGACTTCTGGGGCAGTATTGATCCTTCCAATTGCCTCGCTATTATTTTCTTCTGAGAGAACCCACATAAAAATGAGTAATCACTTCCATTGTCTCAGTTCAGAAACAGCTGAAAATCCTAGAGGTGGTACTTTTCTGTGGCATTTGAATTAATGACTGGCAAGATTATGTTGCCAAAGGCCCATCGAGTGCAATCTCGCCCCAGTGACCAGTGTTTGCTTCACCCTCAGCAGTCTCTCATGTTTTGAGAGCATCTTGCCTTTAATCAAACATGTTAAACCACCATTACATCAGGTCTTTCCTTACATACTTCTCTGCTCTGTAAGATCAAGTTCTGCCCTTAAGCATGTGTCCCTGCATTGCCTCATGACAGATGGTTTTCTGCGGCATTCTGCATACTCAGCCTTGGTTGTACCTGCTCAGCTTCTACCACAACACAGTCCCAAAGTTATGATTTTCTTTCAAGAGAGTTTATTTTTCTTTATTAAAAGCAAATATAATTGGGGCTTTTGAAATCTGAAGGACTACATGGTAGGCCGACAGGAAACAGTACTGCTTTCCAAATTTAATATTCTTTAATGTGTTTGTTAACAGAACACTGACATCTGCTTAATGCTTTTTTTACAAGAATCTCTCAGATCTCCCCTTATGTATTTCTTACCAACCTCAACTATCAGCTTTTGCATTTACAAAACAGAACATGAAATAACAATGCAGCTTAAAGTTCCAGAGCTAAAATCTTGCATAAACTTTTTTCATTGTTATTATTTTGGAAAGTGCATCTGCTCTTTCAAAAAACTTTTAATCATGGTGATCTCATACACTGAGCTACTGTTTAAACAAAAGCCACCCATTTACTGTAAAGCTACAAAGCAGAGAAAAAAGCAATGAACTAAGGGATAGATAGTTAATACATAGCTGTCCTCTTCATGCCAACACTGCCAGCAAAGCTCTAGTGCAAATCAGATGCCTCACTGGAGAGAATGTTTGGCAGCCTAATAAGAAACAGCAGCAACTCAAGTGTTTTCTGAACCTCACTTACAAAAGTAGTCTCACGTACTGTAAACTCTCACTTGTTATTTTTAACCCTTGGGCTCCCATGTATTGTTTTCATTTTGTCAAAGCAAAGGAATGTGAGAGAGATGTCTATTAGACTCCTTCACTCAGCCCGAGGGTTAATTACTCAGTTTCGTAGACATTTAAAAATATTATGTTACCTCTAACGGCAAAATTGATAGAAGCTTGTTTCAGGCTCACTTTATGTCATTATGGCAGATTAAATTAACTAATCATAAATTATGCTGGCTAAAGTACATTTGCTACTCACTAAACCCACAGCAGGAAGGGAAGGGGTTCTTTTCTGAATAAAAAGTAAAAGCCACGTGGCAAATTAAAGTCTTTTTCAAACCAATAAACATACATTCAAGCAACAAAAGCTGGAAGCATTCCAAAGATGGCAGCAACAGATTTTGAAGACCCTGGCAGCAGTCTAACACTGAACTTGTAGCTGCTGCAGAAAGACATCAACACTGCAATACTGCAGGGGTATATCCACAGATCAAAAAAGAGTAAAGACAGTCCATTAAAGAATAAAGAAGGTCAAACAAAGAAGAATAAGCGTGCTTACATTATTATTAGAGGTCTTTGAATACCAATATGGCATAAGAGGTGCATGCTTGCAGCCTCTATTTCCAATGTCACCTGCCATTTTCTGTTCAAAGGGGCTGAATGCACCATTTCTGTCTGCTTCCAAGGAAAGGAAGGGCGTATACATCACTGATCTAGAAGACAATATAGATTTTACAGTGATCCTCTTGTTACCTTCTGTATTGCAGGATGCAGATGTGAAAGCTGATACCATGTCAGTATGACTGAATCCAACAGGGCATAGACAACTGAAGTTAGAGAAGTGCGGGAGGAATGGACAGAAAACACAGGCCTTCGAGACATCTTTGATGCAGTATAAAGTGTTGAGTCCCTATCAGTAAATTCACAGTAGATCAGCTCAATCAATTGCATTAAATAAGGATTTTCTTTCTTTTGGAAGAAAATAAGGAAGTGCAGTATTATATTGTATTACATCTGGACTCGCCTATGCAGTTATCAGTTAAAAAGCAGAATGTTATTTTGGGATGACCAGATAGCTTGCCTCTGTCTAGGAAACAAACTTTGCTGAATACCTCCAAAACGAGTTCAAGAAAGAAGATCAGCCTCCCAGTGACCATGTAAAGAAATTATTGACCATCTATTATGTTCTATTATGATGTATTATGTTCCTTCAGGTATCACAGAGCCATGTGAAGCTTTGGGGGAATCCAAACAGCCTAACCTTGTTTAAAGTGTGAACTTTCAACATATAAAGTCTTCTGGAAAGGTGTAGCACTCTATTCACCTGTTCCCAAGTTCCTTGAAGCAGGTGACACAATTAGTACCATCTGAATCCTTTTCCCTCATGTTTCCCTCCCATTTCACGTTCTCTGAACAATATTCCCCAAACCACCTTCCATGCATGATGCATACAGCTACCAAAAAAAAGTCAGAAAAAGTCAGAAATACAGCTAAACAAGAATTTAGAGGAAAGAAGCAAGAAAGGGAATTGTGTCCCTCACCAACATGCAGAAGGCAATGATGAGGTTTAGTCCTGCAGTGAAAAAATTCTAAAAACTTCCTCTGAAAATAAAAGAAATCTTAGATCATTATCAGTCACTGGATAACCTATTTTAAGCCCATCACAGCCAGTGCGCTGTTCTCATGTTGCTAATTAAAAATGATAGATTCATCAATTAATCTCTCTTCCTGTCCCCTAGTAGTGGTATGAGATTTTTCAAAGGGACAAATAGTAGCTACCTACAAGTATCACTTCAGCCCTGAAAACTTGTGCCTTTGTCAACGTGAACCCGACCTTGTCTCTTTACGCTGTGAAATGACAAAAAGAAAACCATAGGAAACTTTGCCACCCTGAAAAACACAACAGATTTATAATTTGGGAATAATCTTATCCTCTGTACAATGAATAATGCTACATAAATCCTTGCCGGGCTCCAGTCCGAACTTGCTTTTTGATTGATGAATAAGCCACTGTTAAATTTGGCAGAGAGAGATGTCCTAAGCTTAGACTCTTGATTGAAACTCAATTGCAATACTTACTATAGAGCAGTCAGAGACACTCCACTATTTAGGAAAGAAGCAAGGAAGGCAATCTATTTTTATTCACATTGAAATGGAGACAAAGATAAAGGTCCTGCCATTAGCTTAGTGAAGTGCCAGTCACATAAAGCAAGCCAACGAAATGGGTTATCTTTTCCCCTTTCAATATATGTATTGCCGGGCAGTGAAACAGAATTGGGGTGTACAAGGTTAACAAGCCAGCATCATGTTATGAAGCAAGCGATAAAATTGTCTTATAGTTCTTAACTCTGACCTGTTCCAGCGAAAAGCTGCCAAGCAGAATTATGTCATCCTGAACATCTCTCTCAAACTGTTCAATATATGAAGGAATCACTTCATCTTCAAGCTCCCTGTGAAGGTCACGTGCCTTACTGGAGCTGACAGGCATCACGGAGTCCGGAAAATCTTCACTGGCTGCACACGCTGCTTGAAACAAAAGTGGCAGATTATCTCTTAGCAAATGGGAGTCGATCCCCTGGTTAGTACCTTCTCAGTTAACATGTTTGGTCCACCAACATTTTAAGACTACAATTCATGCCATAAAATGAACAGTAATGAATAACAGCAGCAGAACAACTGGCAGATTCCAAGAGCCAGTACCAGGAAAACACTCTTCAAGAGCAACGTCTGTATACAGGGACAAATTTAGCGGATGCAGCTTGTTCCTTAAATAATTTTTAAAAGGGATGCTCTGCATTTCCACAGTCACTTTGCTCCCCTGTAAATCTTAAAGGAATTGGGATTTGGAAAGACTTGGACTTTCACACCTGAGGAAAAGTAGGAATCACTGCAATTGAAAGGGAGTTTTAGGCGTAGCCACACTGAGCATTTCATCTTCCTCCCACTCACCCTGGAGGATCGCATTCCTCCCCCAGGTGTGTGCACACAGGTCCTGCCTAATTAATTGGGTCCACTTCTGCTCTCACCCACATCGTTCCCCTGATTTCACTGCAGTGACATATGCAGAAACAAAGGGTACATGCTGCACATAAAGAAAAATAAATCCCATTCATAAAGTCAACCTTAAAAAGAAGCTATGTCCTTTTTTCAGTTTAATTCATCATGCTATGTGAAAAAATATATCTTCTTATTGATATCTGCTACAGTACTAATACTAGTTTGGGTCATAAATAAAGATGACTATTTTTGTTCATTTGTCCACATTAGGGTCACCAAGAAATGACAGCTATCAGGTTGTCCACATCTGACTTTATCTTTCTTGCCTCATATTTCGGTGTTTAAGTGCAAGTTTTTATAGTTCTCTGTGCCTTTTTCTGCAAGAAACTGCCATATCTAGTTATTTGTTTTTCTCTTTGTCCATCCTAAGACATGAAAGCAGTTAAAAGATTTTTTTTTTCTTACTCCTCTTTGAAGTCTCTCATTCTCTAATGAAGACCAGGAAAGGAAAGATAAAACTAAGGCTATTAAAATTTTCGGTTTTGCTCACTACTCATTGTTTAATGACTTTAATTGTTGAGCCTCCCGAGTACTTAAATCACCTCAGTGCCACCAACACACAGGAAGTAGGGTGGGTGTTTTTTATTTAATTACAACAGGATATAATTCCAAATCATGTTGGGGGAAGTGTACAGTAGATATAAACAACCCAAACCATTACCTTAGGGTACACAATCTCTTCATGTACCGTCTCACAAACCTAATGAAAAGTGATTTGACCTACAACTTTTAACTGCAAAACAAAAACAATATTTACATTTAAATTTATTGTAACATTAAGGGTTTGGCTAGGAGAGAGAAAATCCAGGAAGCTCTGGAAAAGGACACATTGCCAACAGCAGAAGATGGAGCATCGCTGGTTCCCCTTGATACTGTGTTGTACACAATGGGCCATATACTCAGCTGGTATAAATCAGCTGCTTTACTGCCTGCACAGAAGCAGTGCAAGTTTACATCCTGGGAAGACTGTGCATTCCTACCTCAGGATCCTCAGGGTGTGGAAAGATAGTCCTTATATATTAAAAAAGGGAATAAAAACATTCATTTCACAAAGACAACCATGCAGTGATTCATCAAAATATCCTTTTTCTTTTTTGTGTTCATTATTTTTGTGAGGAATTGCATCAAATGAACTCAGTTTTGGTGAAAGACACTGGGCTTATTAGCACGTTTTGTGGAAAAAGAGCAAAAGAAGAGAAAGAACATTTTCAAAAGCCCTTTTGAGGGAAATAACTGCTAAAAATACAGAGATAAATTGTGGTTCAGATTTGAAAAATATTTGATGAAAAGATACATATGTTCATTTCAGCACACTTGGAAAAACTGTTCATTTGGCTGAGCTGTAGATAGGGAGAGAACAGGGTTGTTCAGCTGGTCTATTCCTTCCACGCTGGCATTGTAAAGAGACCTCTGAAGCTCCATCACCATCAGGCAGGTTGCTCCTTCTCTGAACTGGAGAGGTTAGAGGCTTGAGCTGCTGCCCTGGAGCAACGCTTGACCAAAACGAAGCCTTCACCTCCTCACTGTGCAGAAGTAGCCATGGCATTAAAAATGTTACTACTTCATACACACAGGACAAAATGTCTGAATATTTACAAGTTGATAGATTGATAAACTAATTAAAAACTGGCTGATTCAAGTTGTTAGCATCTGCATCAAACTTTTAATTGCTTTGGCCATACTTAGCACTCCAAGTCATACTTTTCACATAGTTTAAATCATTTCTTCTCCTTCTTACAGGCTATATTTGCAGATACTGTGGTGTAATTAAAACAATCTCTCTGGTATTAGCTTGGCTGCTTGTAACTTCATTTACTCATGCATTTGTCCATCAGGTAGCCGTGGTTTACATACTGAGATGAGAATTTAAAGGATAGGTTCATGAGCAGACTACACCACAGCATAGGTTTGAATGTATAAAGCAGCTATAAACTCCACATGGTAAATGCATTTTGGCTGCCTGGTTTTAGAAGACTCTGTGTATAAATTGTAGCTAAAATAATACATCACCAAAGGTTCACGCATCATTTTCTGTCTGGTTTGGGCCAGGCTGGAGTAGCTCAAGCTGGTACAGGCTATGGAGCGGCTTGTGCCAGCAGGGGCGGTGAGATGGCTCATGGGAGGTGAGCAGCTCAACTAAAATGCTGCAAAATATTGCACCTCAATTTTTTGGTTGTTACCAAAGAATAATATAATAGACATTTCTTTTTATGGTATTCACCTAGCATCATTTTAGATGTGTGTGGATCACAATCTTACGTTGTTTGAGAGATTTTATGCGTGGGTAAATTATATACAGTCTACACCTTTCTCTAAAAAACAAACCACCAATGCTGCCTTTTAAGTTGCCTTATAATACAAACTAACACACGTACCACAGGAGTGACCAACAGGTTACTCAGCGACAAAATGCTTTAAATATACAATTATATAAATTCTGAGCCATGTTCTTTCCTTTCCTTTGGGGATCATCTATTAATTAGGACTGAATGACTACGTGATTTTTCAGCTCAGTGGTCAAATGAAGAAAAGAAGCAGTTCTGTAAGAGTGGAACCAAATGAATTCTAGTTTTCTATGGGGTTTCTGAAGTCTAATAAGGGTCAAACTCCCATATTAGCTTTTCCCTCCAGTGGAGACATTAATAATGCTTGTCTGCTCTGCTCAGCTGCCCACTTCCATAAAACTGGTAGGGAAGTCAGACCTGTGAGACTTGCTCTCTGTTAAAAGAAAAGGGTTTGGAAGCAAATAACAGGTTCAAAATTTGGGAGGGAGAAACACAGACAGGCAGAAACACATACAGCCCGATATGTGCACACAGGGGTGGAGACTGCACAAGCCTCTCTTCCTCAGGAGAATCTTGCTCTTTTCTGGATTTTGTTTACCCAAGCCAGGTGAAGTAAAAAATTCAGCTAGGATGGGGAGCAACATTCACCCGTGGGACTAGCTCTGAGACCCATCATGGCACTTTTAAGAAACAAAAGCACTGAAGCACCACTCGAGACACAGGACAGCAGCGGGTTGCGATGTCTCTGCTCCTTGCTGCCCTCATGCCTACACAGGGGTCCTGATGTGCTCCTGACATCCCAGAGTGCAAGATACATGTTAATGCATTTGCTTGCCCCTGAGTTGAACCAGTGAACTGACAGCTCAGCAACCTCAGTGCGAGATCACCGTCCACAGAGCGCACCGCATACGTTCGAGTGGCTTTGGGTGGATGAGAGATTTGAACCTGTCTCACACCCCACATAACCAAAGAGTAATAAGAGCATTTTGCCTCTCACGGTGGTTTGATAAAACTAGTTGGAGAAAAAGACATTTTTAGTTCAAACATACCTGGTGAGTTTAAATTATAAACATCTGGGGAAGTAGTGAAACCTTATTTCTCTGTAACTATTCTATTTGCTACAATCCTTTGTAAAGCCTGTTTGTCTTAACAATATTCACTAATATTATTTGTAACATAATATAAAGTTTCAGGGCACCTATATGAAAGAAAGAGTAACCACTGATGGATGGGAAAGGCTTCCTCTTTACTCCCTGGTTCCCTTGTTTAAAAGTGAACAAATACACATTCACCTTTAGCCATGAAAAAAGTAATGGTCAAGTCTAACTCAATTGTCCAAGAACCTTCTAGAGCCAAAGGAAAGAGAAGAACTGCTTCCAGGGTGTCTAATCAGGTAAGACATGCCCGTGTGAAGTGGGCTGAACCACTGCACAGAAGTGCTTCTTTCTCCTTGTCCCGCCACTTTGCATGAGCCCCAGAAGATATCTTTCCAAAAGCTAATGGCAATGTTACTGGACCCCATCCTAGGGCAGCCTGTAAAAGGACATCACAACATTTTCCTTAGTCATACACGGTTATTTAGATGATAAAGCTATTGAAGACCACGAAATGCTATAAAAGTTAGATGGGGACTGCATAAGTACCACAGAGAGACATCCCATGGCAATCTTTCCTAGAGAAATAATGTTGACTTCTCAGTCAAACATAGCTTTATTTTAATCTATGTTGCTGCAGGATAAAAGCAACAATCAACCTGCAGCACTGCAATAATCCTCATCAGTAATGTGGAGCTCTATGTTAACATGCAACAATAGAGGGCTTGCTAATAATTCGCTAAAGGTTTTTGCTTAAACTATCTGCATGAATTTAGCTGTGATCGTTGTACTTCCTTTCCCTTGCATTGAAAATGAGACAAAATGGGTTTCAAAGATGTTACTGATATGACCAGTGCCAGTTCAAGGGATTTTGCAACCCTAGGCAAACAAAAATATTTGCCTCTTCTAGAACAAAGTTGCTCACAAACTAATAGCCAAGAAACACATTGCAGCTCCTGGAACTCCAGTGCTGTAGACAGCCACCTGCTCTGTCTCTCTGTCAGAGTAGGTCCTGGGTATAACCAAAATATAACAGGAAACCTCATACAGATAACATAGAACAGAAAATACCTTTGCACAAAAGACCTCTGCTGAACAGGAAGGGAAGGTGAGTGGGATACCCAGAAATATGAGGGCACCCCTGCACTGGGGCTTGTTCATATGTCACTTCTCCTAGGACACGCACCTCGTGTAAAGGCTGTGATTGAGCATGGAAGCAATGACATTTCCAGTCTTCAGTCCTATAGGTGGAATTTAACATGCAATGAAGCAGCCTAGAGAAAGCACGCCACTTGAGTTACACTTAAAACCACACAAACATTACTCAAAACAAAAACATTTGGGGAAAAAGATCTTAGAGGCTCACATTAAAGTCAATGTCCTTTTTGCTTCTGAGTTCAAGGGGATGGATTACTCACTCTCCTCCCCACACCCAGACTCAAAAGAGTTTTATTTTTCTTTATGCAAATAATTTTGTTATTTACCTTGGAAGTCCAGCATCTTGTTTTCTTCATCTAGAACCTTCATCAGTTTGTCATAAAGTATTTGCTCATCAAATTTCACAGGATCTTAAAAAGAAAACAAACAGCGAAATATCTCTTTTTTCTTCCAGTAGTATTTCAGGAAACACTACTTTAAACTATAAAGAAAGATATTCAAACACAAAAGTTAAGAAACCATTTGACACTTAAAAACAGTTTTCATAGTTGTGCTGGGTTGACCCTGGCCTGGACGCCAGGTGTTCACCAAGCCTCTCTATCCCTCCCCTTGTGTCCCACAGCTGGACAGGGGAGAGAAAAGACTCGTGGGTTGAGACAAGGACAGGGAGAGCTCGCTCACTAATTACCTTCATGGGCAAAATAGACTCAACTTGGGGAAATTAATTTAATTTATTACCAAATAGAAGTCAGAGTAGGGTAATGAGAAATAAAACCCAAATCTTAAAACACGTTCCCCGCACCCCTCCCTTCTCCCCCAGCTCAACTTCACTCCCAATTGTCTCTAACTGCTCTCCCTGTGCAGTGCAGGGTGATGGGGAATGGGGGTTGTGATTAGTTCGTCACATGTTGCCTCTGCCACTCCTTCCTCCTCAGGGGGAGGACTCCTCACACTCTTCCTCTGCTCCATCGTGGAGTCCCTCCCACGCAAGACAGTCCTCCGTGAACTTCTTCCCACAGGCCACAGTTCATGAACTGCTCCAGCCTGGGTTGTTTCCACATGTCCTTTCCAGAGGGCGCAGTCCTCCAGGAACAGACTGCTCCAACACGGGGCCCCCATGGGGACACAAGTCCTGCAAGCAAACCTGTTCCAGCGTGGGGTCCTCTCCTCATGGGTCCACAGGTCCTGCCAGGATTCTGCTCCAACACAGGCTTCCCATGGGGTCACAGCCTCCTTTGGGCATCCACCTGCTCTGGCATGGGGTCCTCCACAGGCTGCAGGTGGATATCTGCTCCATCATGGACCTCCATGGGCTGCACGGGGACAGCCTGCCTCACCATGTTCTTCACCACAGGCTTCAGGGGAATCTCATCTCTGGCTCTTGGAGCACTTTCTCTCCCTCCTTCTTCACTGACCTTAGTCTCTGCGGAGTTGTTTCTTTCACATATTCTCACTCCTCTCCTCTGGATTCTGTTGTGGAGCAATTTTTTCCCCTTCTTAAATATGTTATCGCAGAGGTGTTACCACCATCGCTGATGGGCTCGGCCCTGGCCAGCAGTGGGTCCTTCTTGGAGCCAGCTGACATTGGTTCTGTTGGACATGGAGGAATTTTCTGGCAGCTTCTCACAGAAGGCACCTCTGCAGCCCCCCTGCTACCAAAACCTTGCCACACAAACCCAATACAGTAGGCGCTAGTTTCATAGCAGAGTTGACTATCATTTTCTTCTGAGTTAAGAAAGGCAATTTAGAATAAAAAAAAAACCATAATATACTTTCAAAGGGTGAGGAATATTATATCTTGATCTGTTTGAAACTGGTTTAATAATTCTGCAAATAGATTTGTTGAAATCTATATTTCCATTCAAATTGCCAGATGAATTCTGTTTGACTCATAATAAAAATCTTAATAAAAATGTGATTTTGGATCTTTATTAGAAATTTTACCTTGCTGTCTATAATATGAACATATTATCTAGTATAAGTAGTCATTACAGCACACTATGAATTTTGATCTTGTGGCTGGTTAGTCATTCAAATTCCCAGTAACATATGCAGATTTTTGAAAGGAGCAAGGGTCACAAAGACATACATGTACCTTTTTCCATGACACTTAAAAATCACTTCAGGTGTCTATATTCAAGGGAGAAATGACCAGTTGAGACTATCTTCTCTTCAGATCTCCCAGAATTCTCTAAGCTGTCAGTGAAGGCAGGCAGGTGGAAAACTAAAGAAATGCATACAAGGTAGGTGAATTGAAGTACAGGTACAAGTGACCTTGGGTGGCTTTTTTAAGCATTTGATAGAATCTCAAAAGAATAAATTATCTTTACCATGACATTTCAGAGCCAAGTTTTTCAGTTACATCAAGAATTCAAAAAGGGAGGCTTCTGCAAACCTCTTCTGCAAGAGCAGAATCTTTTACATTTCTTTTAGCACATAAAATTGAAATGTTCCCTTGGCAGGGGGGAGGGGAAGCAAATCTATAGTGGGATGTTGTTTGTTCTCAGGGCATTATCAACTCAGACAAATTTCCAGAACAAATTTAATTTATCAAATATAGAAAAGATAATTGCTAATATCTTAATTTTCACAGAACAACCCATTAAAGAATCCTATATGATGAACACATTAAAATGATATTTAACTTTGTATAATAGAGTTAGTGGCTGAAGATTTGCTTTTCACCAGCTATTCTCTTTGGGCATTGGGCCTGACTTATCTAAGTCATAAGAGTATAACTTTAAAGTGTGCACTGATTTCTTCACCGTGTTCTACTTTTGTCTCTTGTTGATGACCAGCTGCTAGATGGAAAGAGAAGGTAGACAAATATGTTTTCCAATCAGACGATAACCATGCAGGACCAAACTTCAGTTCTGTCTGTCCTTTTAACTCCATCCACTACTTACAAATATAGTTCCACTTATTTAACAATCTTGTAAGGAAAAGGAAACCACACAATGAGCCTGGTTTGTGAGTATCACCGAATTAATCTGGGTGAGGTGGAGAGGTACCTCTGGAGGTCATCTGGTCCAGCCCCCTTGGTCAAACAGGGCTATCTAGAGCCAAGTTGCCCAGGATCATGTCCAGACGGCTTTTGAATATCTCCAAGGTGTGAGACTTGCTCTTGGTAGAGGTGTTGGTAAATATAGAGTTATAACTGCTCTGCAGATGTCAACACAACCAACCTGAGGTCAATACCATTGCTAACAGACCTTTAACAAATAAGTGTTACTCCAACATTTGAGTGACATTTTTGCTGGGGAGAAAAAGGACACTAAAGGACAGCTGTTCACATGAGGATCTCAGGTCTAGCCTGATACGCAAGTACCTAAAACCACCTCTCCACTCCCACACCTCTGGAACTGGATGGACTTTTTCAGACCATTCATCTGTTGCAGATTTTTTTAAAAAAAAAAGTATATTTTAAAAAACCCAAAACCAACAACAAACAAAAAAGACCAAAAAAACAACTAAGGTTAAGTATGTATCACTCAGCCTTCTCAACACAGGCAAGGGAATATTTTGCAGGCAAGAGAACATTTTCTCACAATGAAAACTGTACTTCCACATGTCCCATATGTCACCACTCTATCCATACAAGTTTTTAGGCACACACGCACAGATACAGAAATCTAATCCGCTTTTCATTCTATGGTTACGAAGCAGTCATGACTCATGTAGCCTATTCATAAGATGAATGAAGGCAGTACCTACAGAAAGACAATCTTTCACTTAAAAACTCTGAGCCAAAAGTTGACTTCCAAGGTATTACATTGCTGTCCTACACAATGAATGGTGAAATTATAGGGGTTAGATGTAACTTACCCTTGATAAAACTTGGGGTTTTTTTCACCAGTACACATAAATTCAAGTTACTGTCATGCATTAGAGTCTATTTTTCTCAGTCACACAAGGTTTTGCCTCAAAATTTTAAATCTCCACGTCTACTCAAAATAAGTTTCTCATGAATTTCAGAAGTGACCTACTTTGAGACCCTTAATAGTAGACAATTCTTTTTTTTAGATTTGACTGCAACAGTGTGTCTAGAGAGGTTCTGCAGTACAAGTAAGCACAAGGTTTAAAAAAGCGAAGGGCTAGGAAGGTAACACAGGAGAATTGGGTCTTGCGTGCTATCGGGTTGTTAGTGCTTAACAACAGGAGCTGGGCCAAAGCATTCAGTGCATAGCTAAGCACTTCATTACCACGATGATGTTCTTACTTAAGTCCATGCAAATTCAGGCAGGCCCGTTCCCACCCTTTTTTATCTAAAAGCCACGACAGCGAAGGAGAATTTCCTCTGCTCACAGCAAAAGACAATACCCTCCTGGTTCATCTCTCTCATACCTATGCACAGCTTCTGTTCTCCCAGCTCTGCAGTCACACCCTCCCAACTCCTCGCTCTTGCCCACAGACAGCAAAGCTAAATATCTCAGCTAAACTGGCAAAAAGAAAACCAAAAAAGCCTCCTTGTGTGCTGGGAACTTTTACAGATTCTGGGGTTCCCTTCTGTTAGGCAAACACGCATTCAGCTCCGTAATAAAATTGCTCTCCAAGAAGGATTTTGGGAGGAGGGCTGCAAAAGAGCTACAGCTTAGTACTCAGTTCCGGACAAACTTCATTAATTAAAGAAAACACAGTGTAGACAATGTTCTCAGGCAATGCTTCATTTTGCTACAGTAGTGGAGGGAATACAGCACAGCCTCACTTTTACCCATCCACTATCTCACTGTCCTTGATCAAAGACTATGCATACTACCTATCATGTTCAGAGTGGGTAAGGCTTATAATTTAAATTGTAAACCTCAATATTTAAATAGAACTGCATATGTGATCTTTGTCACCTCATTTTCATGAATGGAAAAGAATATTCTGACACCAAAATTACATACTTAATTCTGCCTCACCTTCTTCACTGACCTCCATCCCACACTGCCTTGGGTTTATTTCCTCATCCATCAACGGGTCAAAGTAATTTCTGCTGTATTCATTTCCTGTGGAAAGCACATGAAGTAAGGGTCAGCGATTATTAGAAGCACATGAACCAAAATGTTAATTTTGAAATCGACACCAGCAAGCAAAGGGGCATTTTTTGCTACTTTATAAGCTTAATTTTTTTAACAATTCCTCTAAGCCTACTAGTACTGCAATTATCATCTTGTGAAAGGTCAGAAAAGGTAATTCTGGAAACAAGTGCACTTTATGTTACTTTTGCTCAGGAACTAATGAGAAAAATTCTCAAATTTAGATGATGGAAAGATAAGAAAAATTTAAAAAATCCAGCATTCCTAACATAAGCCAAATTATTCTTGAAACACATTTACAAGTGAATTACCCATGCTGCAGAGGAATTTGTGTTTCACAGCTGACCCCTCCAATTTCAACAGTTTTAAATTTCACCACTGAGGTTTCAACGTCTGGTGCATCTTTAATACTGTATTCAACCAGAGAAGTGTTTAATTACAGAGGACATACTAGAATACTGCCTCATTAATCTGAATAGCAATTATATTCAGTTGGGCTAGGTAACTAATCAAAGATTTTGATGGGGTAAGACCACTCATTTTATCACTTTCCATTTCAACAGCTAGTTTTATCTGCTCTTTAGAAACTAATCAAGTTTACCAAAAAAAGTCATTTGTTAGACTTATCAAGGGATAATGCAGCATCTAGCTGCCTAGAGGAACTCCCAGTAAAAGCCAGAAGAATTTTTTTTACATGAGGGGTGAAGGAGGGCTTTTTCCTCAAAATGTGTCCTCCCTTCAGCCGAAGTGCTACATTCTATTAAAATCATCCTAACGTTCATTGGGTTTGCAAATACAGTAAGTTATTACTAAACAGAGAAAAGGTAAAATAATTAAGTCCGTAACAAATTTTAAAATTGTTTCAATAGACACAGATCTATATCCTGGAAAATACAGAAGGGCTAAATGTACGAGGGGGTTAATTCATCCAAGATACACTATAGTAGTCTACAGTGTATTTGTTTTAGGATCAAAAATAATCCAAGCAGCAGCTCCTTTTCAGAGACTAAATGAAACTTTGATATGAAACTAGGTTTAATTTATATTTCTGGACTGGCACATTTTGACTGTCAGTCTCTGTTCCTTCAATGTAGTAAGTACAAGAACTGAAAATTTGCTTTACCTTGAGGTCTCAATAAAGAAAAAATAAATGAGTTTCATTTTTGTTACTTTATCTGTCAACAACTACTAGGCTGGTATGAATCTTGGCAGTATGTAATCAAAGTCTTATGTACTGCAATAACAGAGCCATTCTACCTTATTCACTGTAATTGTTTTTCTCTAGCACAAAGCACCGTGATGTTATATGAACACCCCTTAACATGTTGGTAAAATAATTCACCCATGTGCTAAAAAAGAAAATGATGATGCATCTCTTTATTCAGTTACTTCATAGCTGTAGATGTAAGTTGCTGGAAAGTATGTTGCAACCATATGAGCAATACTCAAGCTAGCCCATAGACTTTTTGCACAGTCCTAATATCACAACAGCTTTTATTGAATTTTAATACCCCATGTTCTTTATGCTATGGGTCTGGTGTGAAACTCTGAGGAGTAGACTTTTGGGCAACTCTTCTGGGCAGAATAATTGGCATTTAGAAGGAAGTGTCATACTATATTTGAGTCTGCAAGGCATGGAAACTATTATTCCAAAAAGAGATATGTTGACAAATACCATTAACCAGCTTGCTCTTTGGTCCTCTTTAAAAAAAAGAACCACCCTAACCCTTTTTTGAGAAGTAGGAGATATTTTATCCAGGGCTTTGGCTCTTTCAGAGCTGCACACAGCTGGAGACAAAGTTACACAGAAGTAAAAAGAACGAGGTCTGATTTCTCCAGAACCACATATGCAGGTAGAGTAGTTGGTAAACACCAGAATCACCTCTGTATTCTGATTTTGTAGACAACAAGCCATTTTAAACTGCAGGATTCCACAGAAGACTTGCGGTGAGGCTTTCTAAAGAGTCAAAATGGATTTTTGGTGGGGTTTTTGGTCTCTGTCCCCCCTTCAGCTCAACATACCTTGAAAACCGGTGTGACCAGGAGGTCTAGGCACTGGGCAGGTCCAAAGATTTTTTTGGGGCTGGGGGAAGTTGCTTTAGTTTTAAAACACAAAATTATCAATTTTAGTCAACATAACATACTGCCCAAGGCAGTTTGCTAATAACATTTTGTGAGCATGTGAATGGATTACTAATCATTTCACATTTGCTTTTGGAAATATTTGAAAGTGTATAACATGTAAATTAACAGTCCACTAAGGAATTCACATCGCTCTGCTCCATGGTATAAACACAGTAAAGTAAATGTTAATACAGAGCTTGCTTGCAGGTATTTTGAACAGCGGTGTATAGCTTGATGCTTTCAGACAGCAAGTTTCTTTGAATATCTGCTCCCATGAAGAGCTGGCCAACTTTGGAAACTTAGGTCTTTGCTTTGATCCAGAGGTTCACTCAAACCATTAGCTCAATTTGAAACTCTATTCACCACTCAAAATTGTGTTATTTCGTGTGGAAAAAACAACGAATAATTCAGGAAATCAGAGTTGAAGTGCAAAACCCCAAATTATCTATAAATTCAAATAAAAATCGGAAGAAAGGTGTTGGCACAACAGTGACCAGGTGGGAATTTATACAGTTTAATTAAAGCATGAGGAGTTGCTAATAAAATTAGCATAATCCTTGGATGCAGCCCATGGGACTGCACACATATTACTAGGACTGGATGAAACTCTAAGATGGCTTTTAAGCTAAGATGTCTGTAGTCAATTATACAGTCTATGTCCCGAGAATACCACAAAAATGGCACAACTAAGCTGCATTTCTACAGGGTCTTCTACTCCATAAAGAGATCAGATAGCCTGTATCAATATCACATCAAGGGTACAGCATGGATGACAGGTAATTAGTCCATTGTCCTTCATATCCTACTATTGATCTAGGTTTTTAGTTTAATGAAAGAATAGATAAAGCTCTGTTGGATTTGTTGTCTCCTGACCAATGTGAAAATGAAGGGATTATTAACAATCAGGCATCTGATTACAAAAAGCTTGTATAACCATTTACTGTTGCTTGTTTTCAGAGCGATGTTGGGTCTTAGGGATAAAAGCAAGAAGACGCAGAGTATGATCTGAGCAAACCTGCCTTATTAAGTAACAGCTCTCCCTTTTCAGGCAGTACAGTAGTCAACACGTCTCTACCAATGACTTGGTAGAACATTGCTGGGCACTACTAAGGTAACTCATAAAAGCCTTTTGCATAAGATAGAATAAGCCAGGCATCTTGGAAAGATGAAATTCCAATCTAAGACAGAATTTTAACCCAACGTTCTTTTGAAACAGTGATGCAGCCAGCAATGGAAAAGAGTAGTCCTCCTTTCCACACAGCTGTCTTAAAGAATTGATTTCAGCAGCAATTCCTGTTAGTGAACATCATGGTAAATACTGTCTCCGTTCAACAGAATTCAACTTATTTCCCGAGGGATACTTTTCATTTCACTTTGCAGATATGGCCCTTTGGGCAGCCAAAACGTAAGGTTCTGTGCTAGCGCATTTCCCAGTTTCTTTACAAGAAGCATACGTGAATGCGTAAGCCAAAGCAGCGTCCTGGGGTCAGACCTGAATCCCCTCTAAAAGAGGTGCCCACCTCAACTTCGCCAGCAAGAGCTAAGACTTGGGATCAGGAGGAAGGGGAGAGAAGGGTCCCACCTCCTGCATTTCCAGCTGCTTCTCTTATTCATCCTTCCTCAAGACATGGCAGGTCTTGTGACTAGCACTCCCACGCACCCGTTTTCATGATTCAGTATCTACATTGGCAAAGCTTGATATCTGCAAGTTGCTGCTTTGTAGATGCAGACCTCTGCTTCTAAACTGCACTTTTGGAAAAAAGTTATAAAGAATTATAAATAAATCAGTCAAAACAGCTACAGCATAAGAGAGGAGAAAGAAGCCTACCCCCTTAAAAAAAAATCTCACAGAATGTAGAAAAATAAAAATCATCCACCAAAACCGTATAAACAGTGAGTTCATGGACAGTGGAAAACTGACATGATTCCCAGTGAATGTATAGGTTCTTAGATGATTTAAACAATGATTTAAAACTGGAAAATAATTTAGGAAAGTTTGAAGCCTTCACAAGGAAACATTTTGAGTTTTTATTCCAAAATTTTGTGTTTCTAGATTTACTCACATCTAAATGTTATGAAGATGTTAAAAATAAAACTTTAGTTTTGAAGAACATAGTGAATTGATACGCAATCTACAAAACAACATTAACTTTCAGTTCTCATTTCAGCAAGAAAAAATAATGAATTATTATGAGTTAAACAGAAGTTATATTTTTAGTTTGGATTTTTAACTGTTATTACTGCACCATATCCATTACGTTTACCTCAGCTCGTCGCTGTTACAAATGCCTTTTATTAAATTTATGTAGGCTGATCTAGGTTACATATAGAAGCTGAATGCCTTAATTAAGGCATGTTATTACTATTTTAGATGTACATCTAGCATTAACATCTATATTATAAGTATAGCTAAACATTATCTATATTATTTTAGATGTAGATCTAAAATAAGATTCCTGGGAAGCATAAAGTTATTCCAGATTATCACCAAATACATGGAGGGGTAGAGTGTTTTACATAGAGCTTCAAATTTTCATGAGTACTAGACAGAATTCAATTAAAATTATGTATTAATGGCATCCTCAAACTGAAGAGCATTAAGCAAGTGATTGGACAGTAGATTATATCTTGAAAACATAGCTTGTTAAATACTACCATCAACGGGTGACTTCTCAATTTTAAAAAAGTTTTAAAGGTATCATATGTCATTTTCCTTATCCTCAGTGGAGACCGTAGATAATGAGTAAACCACATAACTGCATCTTATGTTTATATTACAAGCCTTGAATAAACTCACTTGTCAGCTTTGACAGGACGCTGGCAAAGGGGCAGTTCAGGAGCCTGAG